TGCCAGACCATTTGGTCAGACTGCTTGCTATGTTTCGCACAGCAGAGGGAGGTGATGATTGTGGTAGTGCTCCTGCCAATGCCGCGTCAAAGCCATGCCATATTTGCAACAAGGTTGATAGAAACCAACTTCCATTGACACCTCCGGTAAGGTGTTGCTTGTGCTTGCTTACTTTCCACCAGCAGTGTGCCAAAGACCTTTCAGAAGCTCTGAAAGATAAATCAGGTGCTTGTGCCAGCTCTGAAGTTGGAGTGTCTGCACTGTCTACACTTCCGTGTCGGTTGCCTTCGGAGTTTTCATGGCCGAGAAGCTTTTGCCAACCCAGGGCCAGGCAGGGTTTGTTCGGGTTTGTTTACGCGTATGTTTGCTATCTTTTGCCCAAAGATCACATTTACTGCTATCTACCATCTACTGCATAACTGAATCAGGTACTGTAAAAATATACATATATGGACTGTGAATTGAAGTTGGTGGTTGGTTGGTGGTTGAGTCATTGAGTTGTACGTCGTAGTCATAGGTCGAGTCATAGTCACAGAGTTGAAAGGCCCTTTGGTCGGTCATTTGGTCAGCCTTTGTTACGTTTGCGCAGGCTGTGTGAATGTTGCTCAGTGTGGATGCGGAAATGCTCCGGTTCAAGTTCGGCAGGAGGCCTGACTTGTGTGTGTGTCAGTCATCTGTAGCCTAGAGAGCCACTTACAAAAACAAGCTCTTTTTGACAAGGCTGTTTGACTCGTTTGATGGGTTGGCGAATTGATTGCCAAAGCATTGTAGTTTGGGCTGTAACTGGACTTGCCATTTTTCTGTACACAGCAATGACGGCCTTCCCAATTTGTTTTGATTTGAGACTGTAGACTGAGGCTTGTTTGCCGCAAACTCGTATTTTATGTATATTACAATTAATATGTTGATCACATAATATCAAATGTTTTGTTATTGGTTACTCACAGTCTCATAGTAGTCTTATAGGTATGCACTTGTGGTGCACTTGTGGCGCTTGTGGTCCATTGCAACGCTAGCAAAGAGATTGCTTCACGTTGAGGCCTGCCTATGTCCGGGACATCTACATCGTCTTCGCCAGAAAATTGAATGCCGAAGAGGAGGCAATCTTGGGCCAAACGTTGCCAAAGGTCCCACGTGTTTGGAGTTAAAATGTCGATAGAGCCCAAATCCGTGTTAGATAGATTCAGCACGATGATTGCTTTAGCCCCCGCTTTAGTATAGCACTGGATTTGATATGATGTTATGATGTTGCACGGTGGACTTCACAGTAGCTAATGTGATAATAACTTAGTATCTGTCACCCACCTTACCAATACAAGAGTCTACGCAAAAAAAAGTAAACACAGGAACCACTGTCTACAAGAAACGGAGACGCAAAGGCAAAGAGTCAACCAATTTAAACAGTCTGCCTGAGGGCGTCATCGTGTTCGAGCACTTCAAGAAAATGACTGGTGACACTGGTCTGGAGTCCAAGGCTCAGTCAGTGGTCAGTGGTTACCAAATCCCAAATTACTAGAAGGCTAGATTGCTGCTCTTTGATGATGTTTGACGTTGGTAGCAATTTGTGCACTGCGTGCTCAAGACAGTCCATGCCAAACGCCAAACTTGAACTTGTTACCTTGTTAGCCTTGTTAGGTGTTTTTTTTGGTATTGTTATTTACCAATCATCAAGCATCATCTTATTGCGTGGCTTTCATGTGCTTCTGGATCTTCCGATGTGATGTAAGGTCTGCCTTTCTGGTGACCATGGCCTGCGCAAACAAAGGCCAGCGATGAGGGCGTGGTCAGTGGTGAGTGGTGAGATTTCTCAAGCAATTGCCAACTGCTGTACCTTCACCCCCATGACAGCATGACAGCTAGTGTCTTGTACTTGTTTATGTAATATTTGTCACCCCGTGTTGTCCGTCATTGGTCAGGCAAGTGGTTCCACATCACTGCTCACTACTCTGTTGGCAGGCCTTTGTTTTAGATGAAATGATGTGTGAAGCAGTGCAGCGCAGTGCAACTTAGCAAACTGCGAAGAATAACAGGTTGCCCAGTTGCCTAGGTTGTTTTTCAGGTTCTTCATTTTCACTATATACTTCATTTTTCTTCTGTCCTTCTGTGCCACACTTGCGACACTTGCCACAACTCACTCCATGTGTCGGCCTGTTGATCAGGTCAAAGAAGGTGACTTGGAGAGTGGAGAGCAAGCCTTTGCCCGTTGCCGGTTGCCCCAGATAAACACGTGATGAACACGAAAGGTGTTGGTTTTGATTGATTGCCATGAGCCATGGGCCCTGGGCTCAGGCTCAGGCTCATATTTAAATTTGACCGTTCGACTGATCGCTGACCACTAAACAAAAGTATGTAAACCTTTTGGACGCTAAAGTAAACCTACTCCAGACCTGTTACTTTCCAAAGGGCAGGAGGTCCAATGTGATGATCATGTGATGTTTGCTTGACTCGATGTTGTTGAGTTAGATGCTTTTCTTAAGAGTTGTCATTTGTCGCGCAAATGGCTCGCGGCTACAGTTAGTAACTCTCCAATCTGGATTCCAACTGTGTTTTGTTTCCTGTGTGTCCGGGGCTTTAGCTTCTTTGCCTTGCAATGGAGTCCTTTGATGCCTCTGGTGGAAATCGCGTTGCTCGCCTTATGCACATCGCGGTGGTTGATAGTGGCCCAGTTATGCCTAACTACTCCAACTACAATCTCACGGTGCATAACCACTACAACTTGTCATTTCACGATGGGACACATGAAACCGGTGCTGGACCTGGAGGAGGGAATGGTGGCAGTGGCAATGGTCCGTCAGCAGGTGGTGCTCCTGGACATGTCACTGTGAATATGCCGCCGCCCCCTCCTCCCAGTCATGATGGGCATTTCACAGATGGACCGAAAAAGCGTAAGAAGCAGAGCCACTCGTTTGAGAACGAAGCGCAAGCCGAGAAGAAAAAACCCAGGCAATTGGAGACGGAGACTCGTCTCAGTTCCGAGCATGGTGAAAATCATGATATTGATGATGGTGATGCAATGGAAATCGAGGCAAACGATCCTTCTCCGGCTTCTTCGGCTGATGCGATGGCGGTTGAAGTTGTTTGGCCTGGGCCACCTTCTGCGTCGCCTGCTTGTCGCCCTGATCGACCCGTGTTTCGCCGCCTCCAGCGTCTCTCTGAGGATGCTTTCCGTAATCTTGCAGGATGATCTATGGACACAATCATCGATCAAGGAGAGCTAGTGGCAACTGCGTGCGCGAGACAGAGAGAGTCTTTTCTGAATCCTCCTTACTCCTGTACATGTGTTGTTAGTTAGTGTTGCTGCACTGCAAGCTGCAAACTTTAAACATGTCAAATCACTAACGTTGTTTCTGGTTTGTGCAGTGCAGCCTTCCTTACCTGAATCCCTCACAGTCTCAGTCTCACATTTGCATTCCATCAGCAGTAGTATCACGATGAGGGTTGTCGTGATATCGCAAGGACATGGAAAGCAATGCTGAGAAAAGTATTGTGGTTTCCGCCATTGTTTTGTTCAACTGCGGCAATCTCATGGGACTCATGGATAGTAACAAGCTGCAAGAGTTCATGATATGATTGTTGTATTATAGAATATGTTTTCGCAGTTTAGGCTAGGTGCGAGAAGTGACCGTTTCTTTTGCCAATTCAGTTGGTAGAAAACACATGGAAAGTGGTCATTTACATTAGCATTGATGAGTGCGGAGTTTGTTTGTTGTTTTTCGTTCTTAAGTTTTCCATGCCTTGTCAAACCTCACCAACCTCTGAGCACCAACGATGACAACAGCAATTGACTTTGCTTATTCCCCTTCCGACTGCTGACCTTGAAAAGAATGCAACGCATCAAAATAATGCATATGAAAAAACAATATGATCCCACTCACCAAATCCACGCCTGAACTCCTAGATCCATGACCCAACTCATCAATACCCAGGCTTAAGCACTTAGATTGGTGACCCTACTCACCAAATCCCAGCCCATACCCATGGATCCATGACCCAGCTCACCAAACCCAAGGCTTAAGCGCCTAGATTGGTGACCCTACTCACCAAACCCAAGCCCAAACCCCTGGATCCATGACCCAACTCACCAAACCCCAGGCTTAAGCGCCTAGATTGGTGACCCTACTCACCAAATCCAGGCCCAAACCGCTGGATCCATGACCCAACTCACCAATACCCAGGCTTAAGCACTTAGATTGGTGACCCTACTCACCAAATCCCAGCCCAAACCCATGGATCCATGACCCAGCTCACCAAACCCCAGGCTTAAGCGCCTAGATTGGTGACCCTACTCACCAAATCCCAGCCCAAACCCCTGGATCCATGACCCAACTCACCAAAACCCAGGCTTAGGCTTACGCACTTAGATTGGTAACCCTACTCACCAAATCCCAGCCCAAACCCCTGGACCCATGACCCAGCTCACCAAAACCTAGGCTTAAGCACTTAGATTGGTGACCCTACTCACCAAATCCAGGCCCAAACCCCTGGATCCATGACCCAACTCACCAATACCCAGGCTTAAGCGCCTAGATTGGTGACCCTACTCACCAAATCCAAGCCCAAACCCCTGGATCCATGACCCAACTCACCAAAACCTAGGCTTAAGCAGTTAGATTGGTGACCACGGTGACCCTACATACACAAGTTAGAACTGGGATGCTGTGACAACTCTTGCATGGTTACTGTTTGCAGTTGATTGAGGTCGAAGCGGAATACACAGCAAATGCATCGAGTGTTGGACCCAGAACTTTTCACGTTTTTGTTTCAATTTCAGTAGCAGTTAATACGACAGTTTTGAAGATATCATTTTGAATTTGTTTTGCCCTGTCAGTTGCACTCCCGCTTGCCTTCAGTTGTTGCAAGTAGACCTCAGCATTCTCGCTTTTTTTGCAGCCATTTTGGTTACATCTGCTTGAATCTGTGATTGTCGCTTGGCCGCTTGGTTTCCTTTGTTTGACTGCACGGGTAGTGTGGCTTCTTCGTCTTCATTTGTGCGAGAGGGTATGGCATTGAATCCTTCTGACAAGAAGAGTGCAGGCTTGCTTGCAGGAGTTGAGCCTGGTGATGTAATGCAGAAGGGCATCGACATTTATGCACCTGACTTGACCATTGAGGACTTGTGGGGTAGTGCAAGTCCTCCCACAGGCGCAGCATTGTTGGATAGAGTTCTTCTCTTCTATGGAGATGGGACGCGCAATGTCCCATGGTTTTTCGAAGCTCCTGACGGACAACAACGACGGTGCATTGAGCGAAGTCCATTGAGCCGCGAATTGCAAGAGGCTACAGTGCTGGCATACCGTGACAGGATTGTCAAGGAATCAATCAGTCAGGTCGCAGCAGGCCGCTGGGTGACACATTTGTTGTAGATAATCTTGTCGCTTAATGACAGCAGTGACAGCAGTTACATATTTTAAAAATTGAGCCTGCTTCCTTGATTGTTTCCCTCACTACTACCCTGCCTTTACCTGGGGTAAGTATGATTGAAATGGACATGAACATGAACACCTTTTTGGCCACTGCCAATCTAACCTGTGCGTTCAGGCGAGCCAATATTCAAATTCAAGGGGCCAGAGCCATCCTGGCCTTGCCAGGCTGGAACGTGGAATCACAGAGCAGAAGCTGTGTATCGTGCAGCCCAAGAGTTTGCTTCTCACGAGAATGTGGCGCCAGTGCTGAAGAGGGGCCTTGTCCATGTGAAATTCGTGCATTGGCGGATACCATCAAAAGTCTGGCAGCGATTTATAGTCACTCACAACAGCTTCCATCAAGGCTCTGGCCAGAACTTTCAAGAGTATTTGGAGGACGCCTTGAATTGTGAGTCCGAGTGGGAAAGACATGTGTCCAAGACTGGGATGCACTCCTCCAACCCCAAGTACAGGCAGACATATCGCGATTTTGTGGTGGAACAAAGCAGCCTGGATGCTTTTGGTATACATGCATATGCATGTCCAACATACGTACCCCAGGTAGAGTCAGGTAGAGCCAAGCTTCAAGCTTTTCAAGCGTTAACTGATTGTTTGGCTTCGGTACTGTGGAATGTGTTTGTGTTTGTGGCGGGCCACTGCTCGAACTACCTCTTCTAATTTTTAGTCACGGAGTCTGCCTAGAGACAACTTCTTTTTCAAGCAGCACTGTGTGCTCACACTTTGCCTGCTGCAAGGTCTTTTCTTCAGAGACTGGGACCCATACCGCAAGGCTTTGTCCCTGGCGCACATGTTGCAGAACCGCTACCAGATCTGGTTGGAGTGCAAGTCCTTCTGGAACAAGCATGTGGACTACATCTCGAATGAAACAACCATGGAACCCTTGGCTGTGATCAACGCGATGCATTCCCTTGCGCTGCTGCTTGTAGGCAACCTTTCCAAATTCTACGAGGGTCCCATTATTGGAATCTTCCTCAAACACGCCTTGCGTCATTGCGTGTCTGCCTTAGCATTGGACCAAGAGATTTGACGCTTAAGCTTAGGTGCCGTGCTAATTGTTTTCTTTCGTGTGTTAAGTGTTGGGTATCTAACTTATATGGCAGAGCAAACCAGCAAGCAAGCACTTAAACTGACAACGGATAATGGCAACAGCCACAATATTCAAGTGCGTGTAAAACAAAACAGATGTCAGAAATGTGTGGCATATGTTTAATGATTTGCGGTTGTGTAGTAGGTGTGTGATATGTCAGAACTATGTCATCATTTGTGATACACGTTGCCACCTCCTCGCTTCTTGCGAGGTTCCTAAAGCCACAAACAATTCCTCTGGAGAACGGCTTCCAGGATGGAATTTCAAGAGTGCTGAACATGATGCCAGCAAAATGAACTTGCTAAACCTCCCTATGAGTGACAGCGCAGTTGTGAAGAAGCTGACTGTTGCCCCGACAAGGGATGCTGGCAAGGGAAGTGGTCATGAGGGAGAGAATGGTGGTCAGGGTGTTCAGGCTGCTCCCTTTGCTTCCTCTTCAACTTCTTTGAAAAAGAGGGCGATTCCACCCAAGATTGAGGAGGAACTTCGGAAATTGGGCATTGACCCGGGCATTCTTGGCAAAGGGTATGATTGCGGTGACAATGATGAAATGAAGACCAAGAAGGCAAAGACCGAGCATGATCAGGTGGATGAATCAATGCTGGATGATGAAGGTGCCGCAGGACAGCAAGGCAGTCGGGATGTGGTTGTCTGAGTGTTTGGAGACACGCGCTGATCCGTCCGATTCTGGATTGATAGTTATTCTTACATCATGTGCGCTGATTTCTGTTTGAACCAGTTCTCATTGTGTGTGATTATTTGTCTTGCAGGCAAGAGGTCAAGATTGAGTTCAGCTACTGGCCTGTCAGAGATAAAACTCACCAAGGGCGACAAGAAGCTTGCATTCGCCGCTTACTCTGAAGCAGAGAAGTCGAAATACCGCGTACAAGTGTCTCCGCTGAGTTGTTCTGACCCCGTTGATGACCCTGGATCGCGGCCAGTGACAGCTTTGGATGACTTTATGCAAGCCATGAACTATGCTCAGCTTGTCGTCAAGGCAAGTTATGGAATCGTCAAAATGTGTAGCGGACGCGTAGGTCAAGACCACTTCTTTTCAGTTCCGGCTTTCTACTTGCACATGAGTAGATATAGTCATCAGTCATCATGGCAGTGTCATAGTAAAGACTTTTGGTGAAATAGTGTAGTGGACACTGACTAATGGCGTAGGATGCGTATGGTGATCAAGTTCCAGCAGAGAGCTTGGAGAACACCTTCAGCTTCTGCGTCACTTGGCCAAATCGCAGTTTGGATTTGGAATTGTTGGTTGACTGGCAGTTGACTGGTTTACTGATTGACTGATTGACCCGGGAGTGTGACACTGTCACGTTCTCAGCAAACATGTATAACTGTATAAGTAGACTGTGAATAACTCAGCAGTATGCATTCAGCTCCTCTCAGTTTAGGTTGGACTATTCCTGCAATTCATGTTCGAAGGCCGAGTCTGCCTCAATGGGAAAGACTTGAGGGTCTACACAGCTGCACGGGCAGAAATACAATCGACCTTCATTGCTGCAATGGATTTCATTCGAGCGCCAGTTGATCATACTTCCCCAAGCAGTTCAGCTCAAGGACTTTCTGCTTTGGCATTGGCCAAGAAGTTGTGTGAGTCTTTCGTTGCACCTCGTGTTACACAGATGGTCTTTGGTGATGACGAGACAGCAGCTTTGCGCAGGGTAGCCACAACCATGACTACCGAGTACCATGACGTGGCCTTGCCTCTAAAGCAGTTTATTCAATCCCACATGAAGCTTCCCTTGATTATGCACGATGTGGTGAAGGAATGCTTGACTTTGCCCCCCGGTGTGCAATCAAGACACACGACACACAACAGCTCCCCGTGGGTTTCAAAAGTACTTGTATACTTGCCACTGCCACTTCAATTACTGTGTATATATATATAAGTCAAACTTGTATTATGTATTCCTTGATTGCTTGAACTTTAAGAAGATGTATATAGTCAAGTCCTGTCATGTCGGGAAGCAGCCAAATCCTTTTTCGATGTTGAGATGCGGAAGTTGATTGGTGTGGTAGGTGGGTGAGTGTGTATGGGATGGTGCTGGTGAAGTGCAATTTCACGAGCAACAAGTTTTGGCAGGAACACACAAACTCTGAGTGTTTGAGTGTAGGTGTCTGAGCTGTCAGCAGTTGCTTGGATTTCAGAGAGACGTCCGGGCTAAGGTTCATGACGAGCAACTGTAAGCGGATGGAGATGGTGGATATGGTGTGCAAGGTCCAAACTGTCCTCGAAGTGCGCTTGCCATTTAAGTGGGTGTCCTTGGCTGTCGATGTGGCCGAGCTGTTTGCATCCTCAAAAGCGTTTGTTGAGCAGACAGAGGAGGCAAAGCTCGGGGTTGCATGTTATTGCATGTTTAAAACAAATCTAATCAGTCAGTCGCAAGTTGGTTGATGGCAAAAGGGGATACCTACCTAAGCTGGACAACATGGTGTAGTCCAGGGTCATAGTACTGAGTACTGAGTGCAGCGTCCATGAAGAATGAATATTGGCATTGTGAAATCAGGTCTTTGGCACGAGCGAGATCTTGGCAAAATTTCTACAACTACGATTCCAATACCTGGTGCAAATCATGTCTGTGTGCGCTTGTGATGCTGAGCTTGTTCTCACAGATGCAACAGATGATAGGAGAAAATTCCTCTCAGACTTGGCTGCGCAAGTGGTGAAGGTAGAGGCACACTTGGAGAAGCTTGCCACATATGACAACATCCTGTCCGTGAAGGATTGGGGTATCAAGTGGGCAGAGATTCTCAAGAAAAGTGAGTTGTCTGTGGAGGCATTAGTGCGACAAGTGGATCTTCGCTTGCAATTGAACCAGGATGGTCAAACAAATGGGCAGTCTAGCTCCGTCTGTGTCCGAAGTGACCTTCTTGCTGCCTTGCGCAACAGAAGACGTGATGGTGTTGCGGGAAATGGGCCTGAAGCAGTGCCAACTCAGAGCTCAGGCAGGAAGTACTTTTCCCTTCATGTCATAACCAATTTCATTTATACAATTCCAAAACGGTGTATCACGTGCCAGCTGACACTATCGACTAGTCTTGTGTAGAATCACAACAATAGCAACAACATTAATTCATAGGTTTGGCCAAATTGGTTTAAAAGATCAACCAATTGCGGACATGAGTTTTGCACTCCCCCACAGGCGGTCAAGGCAACTCGAGCGAGCAAACTGATCCCGCTGCTGCGAAGCCCAATGGCAGTCAGGAAGGTGGCAGTGGCAATGTTGACAGTCCAGATTCCACCTTCGTTCCCATTGTGCAGTTCAACAGCTTTGTGAGCTCGCAGTTCAAGGAAGCAGTTGGGAAAACCGATGAGTTCAAGATCCTCAAGCTCAAGAGTGTCAGCTCTGCATTCTTCAGGATGCTGGAGGGCCAGTTGAATGGGGTAATGATGGATATTTACCAAGCACTTGCTGGGCACGAAAGTGCAGTTTGTGTGAATTTGAAGGCCTTGAATAGCAGCAAAAGCAAGCAGGACGGCCTGCAAGTTTCCCTGCCTATTCCCGAGGGTTTTCTTCTCCCGCTCATCAACCGAGTGCAGCCAACAACATCAAAAGGTTCGATCTGGTGTGTGAAGCTGTTCGGAGTTTCTTGGCTGTTCACCAACAAACTGTTTGGTTCACCAGTTCACAAACTCCCATTTGAGTTTCCTAGCGGAGCAATCAATGGGGGAGAGGATGGCATATCAAACATTGCAATTAATTGTGTTCTGTCTCTCTCTCTCTCACTCTCTCTGAACTCTCAGCTGAATGTTAGTTGTCGTTACACCTTTACATTTTCACTTCATGCCTAATTAGGTTGACTTCCACATGGAACCAGTCCGCGATGTATTGGCCAGTGATCTTTGCATTCCTGGGTGGTCTGCCCGCAGTGTATCCAAAGCCGATCAAGCTTTCTTCGAGACTTGCATCAAATTGGAGAAGGTGGTCCTGTATCGTTCGGGTGACAATGACTTGGACATTTCAGTGGACTACCTTGGTGATGGTGGTGATGGACATGATCGCATGATCGAGAAAATCAAGAGTGAAGGGATACCACATTTCTTTGCCGATCTGCAAATCCAATGCTTGAGACCTGTCAGTGACTTGGAAGACAAATTGAGCCAGGATGTGATTGATAGACGGAAAGCATTGGAGAAACAAATCCGATCATCCATCAGCGATAGTGTCAAGGCAAAGGCTAAAGCAGCAAAGAAAAAAAAGCTTGAGCCTGAGAAAGAGGAGTCCCACGCCAACGCATCAAAGCAAACAAAGTTCATTTTTGAAGCGCTTGGCATGGAGATTCCAAACAGCCAGGCGGAGCAAATTACTGTCTTGTCAGATTTGATTGCGAAAGAAGAGGAGTGCGACAAATTGATCGAGCAGGCAAAGAATTCCATTGCGAGGCCAACGCGTTTGCCTCTTACCCGGTTGCCAGGAGATGAAGAAAGGTCCAAGCAGAATCGCGCCAAACTCATGCAACAGGCTCTGGAACAAGCGAAGAAACAAGGTCAAGGTGATTCTGGAGCCATGACTTGCGAAGATGATGGTTCCTGCTCCTTTGGTTTCCAAGCAGCCGTGTTGAACGCAGAGAAGCAAGGTTCCGTTCAGCGCAAGGACAACAACAAGGAGACAGCAGTACATACATGACATTGCGTAAATGATAGAACTTAGAACACGGTTTAGAAGGTGGACTAAGGTGGACTAGTGGACTAGCTAGAGCGGGCCGATACGGAAGCTCTTTTTCCTTGTGTATGGTTCGCATTGGTATTTGTCGCCGTGGAATGCGGAAAGTATCACTTATAACTTATAATATAATAGTAATTAATTATAAATTCTATATATATATAACCAAGGTCCAGTTAGTAAGTTGGTTTGTGAGCTTCTTGTGGCCTAGCCAGGACCGCAAGAAAGCGAAAAGTTTGAAGGATGTGTTTGCGCTGGCCAAGCATATGTTGAAGTGATTGAAGATATGAATGCTGCTGGGGCACATGTATGGCATGAATTGATCGCGGGTGCCTGGCCATGAGATTGGGGCGCTGCCATGGCCAATGTCCACCCAACGATTGAGAGGTAGTGCTCGAGATGTCCAGCTGTAGAGAGTAGTAGTGCCCAGCATTGTTCATGCAAATTCAACTGTAGAAATCATAGAGTCTTGCGATAGATTTGGTTTTGGTTCCGGGCTCAATTTTCCGTGCCGACAGAGTATGAGTATGGCACATTAGTTGCTGCTAGCTCTTTGGTTTAGCCTGAAATGACCGTTCAAGATTTGGATTGGATATTGTATAAGATATGTCAACAGTCCACTGGAAAGCACTGGAAACCGCCTGGATGGAAAGGGTGGACAGGACTGAGCCAATTCGGACTTTGTTCACCTCAGAGCCACCCATAGTAGTTATGTACTCACTGTACAGTTTTCTTGGTGAGTGTTTGAACGACAGTTGTATAGACTTGAGCTTGCCAAAGCAGTTCTTTGACAATGCGTCAACGCGTGCTACCGTCTGGTTGATTTCTTAGTCTTCTTCTTATGTCTTGTGCTTGTTTGTCTGTTTTGTCTGTTTTGCTTCGATTTGCAGATTTGTAGGGTCAGGGTTTGAGCGCGCAGTGTGGAACTGAATTTCGTCAATCAAAGCTCAACTTCTCAACTGTCCAAGTGTGCAAATTC